TCAGCTGCATATTCAGATTCTAGAAGAGAAGTCCAACAATTTGCTGCATCTCTCTTTGTCTTTGTAAGAACAATACGAACCATTTTTCTATCCTCTAAAGAAAAAAAAAAATCACAAATAAAGAGCTCATCATTATATTTTCCAAAAACCTTTAGGTAATCTTGACATACAATTGTTTTCAACACATTTCTATTATTATAGCTTTCAAAGCTACAAAGACAAAAGGACCTAATACAAAAATGGAAAAGATACTAAGTTCCAAGACAAAATTTTAAAAAAGATTCTATGAATTATAATAGTTATCCTTACCCAAAGTCCATGTTCCCTCATCAGCTATTGTAGAATCAAAGAGTTTGCCCTGAAAAATAAACATTTAAGACACTAAAAATATGGCATTTCATTGATTTTTATAAAGCTTTCATGACTATGATTTACCTAATTTCCTACTTGATCCACATCCTATACCATTTCACCACATTTATAGGTGTTCAGTGCTAAATTTCCTCCTAGCTAATGAAATGAAACCTAGTTTACATTGCATGGAACATTTATCATGACAAAAAAACACACAGCTCTCTAAGATGAGGGCACCTTAATTTTTAGAAGATGCAGATATACTACTGATCACTAATTAGCCAAATGTCTGAAAGGCTTTAATTCTAACAATTCAAATGAACTAGAAGGATCTCCTGCTAAAACTATGAAGAAATGCCATATTTTTAGGTAAACTTTAAAAAACTGGTTTAATCACATTGGGTGAATGGCATTAAAAAAATTTAAAGCTCATACTGTAGATTCAATTTCAGTTTAGTTGTGACTGATTTTTCACAAACTCTTATTTTAAGTAATCAAAATACAAATTTAAAGGAGAATGTATATGTTCAAATTCATTTTATATAAAATAATAAAAGCTAACATGTAGTATGAGATTACAGACCAGGCACTACTACAAGATTTCCAAAACATGAATACTATGTGAGGCTCAAAACAATCCTATAAAAAAAAGGTACTATAATTACTGCACCTTGTGTATGAAAAAGAGACACTTGCCCAAGGTTACAAAACTAGAAAACGGGTGGAGTCCGGTACCTTACCTAGTAGTTACCCGTCACCACTACAGACACTGCCATTAAACATCACAGGCATCTAATCTGAGAAAGTAATCTGACTTCAACTTGTTAATTAAATGTAATTACAGGCTGAACAAGGAAGAAGCGGATCCCAGAGCCAAAGGACACTGGTGAAAATAAATAAGGTACTATTTTCTTCCCACACTTCACCACCTGCTTGACCACACTACAAACATGCAGGATCTTTCTAATTTTTGATTAGGAAATAAATCACCTGACATCATCTCTGAATCTTTATCCCATTATCCTAGCTTTTATTTTCTTTGTTGTACTTTTCTGTAGCTACTTGCATATTTATCACTCATGCCTCCCTACCAGAGCGCAATCTCTTGAGAGTAGGAATCTTTTCTATCTCGCCGTATATTCTTGGCACCTATATGAGTATACGATAAATATTTGTTCTTTTAACAAGCTAGTTAGGCTGTTCCCAGATGAAGACCCTCAGAAACAAAAGAAGCCGTCCCACTTGGTATAAAAATAAAACAGAAAACTGGGCTCCTCAAATTTCCACAAGTCAAAGACTCGTCCCGAGGATGTGGGCTCCGATCAGGTCAATATAATCGCTTTCTCTTTCTGCCATCCAAAGGACCCCTCTAGCAATCCAAAAATTGTTCCAAGGAAACAGTAAACGTTAAGGCTAGGGAATTCGGAAAAAAGAAATTGAGCACAAGCCCCGACCTGCCGCTACCTTGAGGATCTCGCGGCCACCCACCGCCAGCGCCACATGCCTGCTCTGCAGGCCACACTGGATATCCTGGGCGCGAGTGCCTGGTGGCACCTGAACTTCAATGAACAC